ACAGGATCAGATCTCTGCTAAACTGACCTCAAGATGAGGTACCTGACTCTTACATTTACAGTTCGCAGAATTGAATTCATTTTCTTTCATATGCAATTTGGGTTTAGTTTCTAGTTTCATTTCAAACTAATACGTCTCTGTATATATCATTCGTTATTGCTTCTGATTTTGATTGGTTTGATATGTGAATATCCCATTAATGACTCGAATTTGTTCTGCAATTTTGCCTAAATGCTCTTTGTTATGGACATTAATACTGGATGTTAAATCTGTTTCTTGCCTCTATCGAATGTATTTCGTGAGAAGGCTAGTGACTTAGGTGTATTAAGAATTTAAGATGAAGATGACTTTTTATGGAACTGGGGATTGTTCAATAATTATACTTTAGTCTCTGTTCTGTTTGTTGATGTAATACTGCCTTGTTGGATACAGTAAGCTCCAGAGTGAGGCTCTTAGAGAGGCCATTACTGTTATCAAAGGGAAATCTGAGGAAAAGAAGCGTAACTTTGTGGAGACTATTGAGCTCCAGATCGGTCTGAAGAATTATGACCCTCAAAAGGACAAGCGTTTCAGTGGAGCTGTCAAGTTACCTCACATTCCCCGTCCTAAAATGAAGATCTGTATGCTCGGAGATGCCCAGCATGTTGAGGAGGTAATTCATCTTATCATTTCTTCTAATTAAAAAATCGCCTTTTGAATGTAGATGCATGAACTGTTTTGGAAATGTGACATTTTTTATGCTCAATTTCATGTATAATGGAACTTGTGCTTGTCTCACGTGCAGTCTCTAATAATTTGATACCATTTTTTTTGTCTATTTACTATACCCACATGAACTTTATTTGTTGAATTATGAAATCTTTGCTTATTTCATTTTGTATACTTGGGCAGGCTGAAAAAATGGGGCTAGACTACATGGATGTGGAGGGTCTAAAAAAGCTTAACAAGAACAAGAAACTTGTCAAAAAGCTTGCAAAGAAATACCATGCTTTCTTGGCCTCTGAATCTGTCATTAAGCAGATTCCGCGTCTTCTTGGTCCTGGTCTCAACAAGGCAGGCAAGTTCTGATTACCAGCTAATATTCCATGTTCTCCCTTAATCCTTTTTTTGATTTGCATTGTAAAAATGTGTTTTTATGTTCTCTGGTCTGAATGTAGCGCCAATTCTTCTTAGATGTGTATTAACGTATTATTGTCTTTTGGTACAGGAAAGTTCCCAACGCTTGTGAGCCACCAAGAATCGCTAGAGTCGAAGGTGAATGAAACAAAGGCAACAGTGAAGTTTCAGCTGAAGAAGGTTCTGTGCATGGGAGTTGCAGTTGGTAACCTATCCATGGAAGAGAAGCAGGTCTTTCAGAATGTCCAGATGAGCATCAACTTCCTCGTCTCTCTCTTGAAGAAGAACTGGCAAAATGTATGTAACGAATCCACTGTTTCTATCCTTTTTACTCTTTTCTTTTCATTCACCATCTTATAGTATTACTGTCTTTGCCTTGTAGGTGAGGTGTTTGTACCTCAAGAGCACCATGGGACCTCCACAAAGAATCTTCTGAGCTCTCTCAACTGGTTTTTAATGGTGGCAATAAGATACTTAGTCCTTTGTTTTTTGTTTTGTTTCAGACATCTATGAAATGTGTAAGAGTTTTGTTACTCTCCTTTAGATTTGGTTTGGATGAAGAAGAATTGCATTTATTTTGGTTAATGGATTTTGTAGCTTATATGATATTGAATTATGTGTGTGCATCTTTGATAAGAAGAATCAACCCATAGAGCCACAATAATGCCTTAAATGAATACAAAGATCCATTTTCTAAGCAAAACTTTTAAGAAAATTTGCACTTAATGTCCAAAAATCTTACAATATTGGAAAAGTAACCAAAATCCCCTATAGTTTTTCAAAGGAGTCTCCACAATTTAGTCATTTATTTAATTATAAAAGTTTTTTGGGTTATTTAGCAAATTTAAAATTGAGTTCGTGAGTTCCAAAAGATTGCGTTTTCTTCTCCGACCCCCAAATCTCAGCATCAGAATTTCTAGGGTTCTTACGATTAAGGCTAAAATCGGATCGAGATTTCTCTCGCATCTACTCTTTCGATTTATAAACATGTCTCAAAACGGGAAGCTGATCCCAAATCTGGACCAGAACAGTACAAAGGTCCTCAATCTCACAGTTCTCCAGCGAATCGATCCCAACATCGAAGAAATCCTTATCACTGCCGCTCATGTCACTTTCTATGAATTCAACATTGAGCTCAGTCAATGGGTAAGTTCTAATCAATCATATCGTCTCTTTCTCTATTCGGATTTGATGTTTGCTTTGCAACCCCCTGATCTGTCTTTCTTTTTTTCGATCAGAGTCGTAAGGATGTTGAAGGATCTTTGTTTGTTGTTAAAAGGTAACTACTTTCGATCTTTAACTATGTGTGATGATGTTATCTTTGATCTTTTGGAAATCTGATGGATCCTTCTTGTTCTGTTTTCAGGAGTGCACAACCTCGATTTCAGTTTATTGTGATGAATCGTCGGAATACAGGTCAGGAATCTCTTCCCAGTTCTGATTTTAGGTTCCTTTTTGAGTGTTTTCTTCTTGTGTGTCTATTCTTTGTTTCTCTTTAAGCTAAATAAGTATCAAATTGCTGATCGATTAGATTCTCATTGATTTCTCCAATGATTTGGATAAATTCAATTGCTTCCTTTCTGATGATGTACTAGCAGAAGTAGTGATTTGTAACAATGACGTTTGATTTGTTAGGAGATAGAAGCTCATCTAAAACTTAGGGATAGTGGTAGAGAAGGTTTAGATCCTCGGTATAGTTTGTTGATATAGCTTACCTGGTAGCTATAGGAATTTATGTTGAGTTTTTGATTTCGGAGTTGGTATTAGTAATCATCAGTGTACTGTTGAATTTGTCTGGGCAGATAATCTGGTGGAAACTCTTCTGGGAGAATTTGAGTATGAAGTTCAAGGTCCATATTTACTTTACCGTAACGAAGCTCAAGAAGTAAATGGTATTTGGTTCTACAATATACGTGAATGCGAGGAGGTAGCAAGTCTTTTCAGCAGGTATAGAATTTACTGTATATCATGTAGAAACTGTTTTTTCGTGATACAACAATCTTGAAAGTAAAGCTAAGGTTTCTATTGTTTGATTATGAGTAATACCGATATTGCTACCTATTGTGAGACAGATTCTTTTTGGCAAACGTAGTGCTTTTCATGAACATATTTCTTGCAGATTTCGTGTACAGTTTTTATGACTTGATTTCTCAGCTTTTCTATGTATTTATTTCCATACTCGTTGTATCTCTACCTAATGTTTCCTTGGTATGACAGAATACTTAACGCATATTCCAAGGTAAACCAGAAGCCAAAGACGCCATCCTCAAAAAGGTAAGATTTTCATGTTTAGATTAAAACATTGCATCATTTGTCGTTTTTTGGTTGTCTTATTTGAGGCAGAAACTTGATAATCTACATCAATTTTTCTCAGCTGGTATATGTGTTATATGTTAAGTTGAGTTAAAATCTTTCTTTGTACTGCAGTGAGTTTGAGGAATTGGAAGCTGTGCCTACAATGGCAGTTATGGATGGTCCTCTTGAACCATCTTCAACTGCTAGAGATGCCCCTGATGATCCTGCTTTCGTCAACTACTTCAGCGTAAGTCTCTAAGGCTTTTGTTACACACTCACACTATCACATTCGTCGTCATGACAGCATCATATACGAGTAATGGCAGGAGGGCTTTCTTAGTTCTAGATTCTTGTTTTATCTACTATCGGTCCAAACCAGATTCTGGGGCACAAACCCTTGATTTTCTTTCTTCAACTCCTCAAATTGTAAGACTGAATTTATCAATAATGTTATTGGCTTGACTACAGTCAGCGTTGTCTCTCGGGAACACTTCGAGTGCGTCGGCAAGTGGACCACCATACCAATCGTCAGCAATTCCTCTACAACCTCACCAACCCACCATTGCTCCTCTTGCAGCGGCAGCTGCACGTCCACAGATAAAATCACAACCGCCTATGCCATCTTCCTCTCCGATGATGCCTCCTCCCTTCGGCAACAACCCTGATCTTATCAGTAGCAACTTCAACGTTCACACTGATTTGGTGAAGCCGTCCTCTTTCTTTAGTCCTCCACAGATGATGGCACAACCACACCTCATTCCCGGTTCATCTATGCCAACTGATCCTCCTCTGAACCCTAATAATGCTGCGACTCACCAGCAGCACTCTTATGGTTCACCGGTGCGCCAGCCTTTCCCACCACCAAATCCGCCACCATCACTCGCTCCTGCACCCAGTGGCCCGGTTATCAACAGAGACAATGTAAAAGAAGCCCTTTTAGCGCTGGTTCAGGTTTGTCTTCTTACAACATCACTTGACTTTGAGCTGCTACCCAAACCTAACGAGTTCCTTTTGACAGAACAATGAATTCATCGACATGGTGACTAGAGCTTTACAAAATGCACATCAATCATGAAGTTGAGCTGGGTGGGTGTCGTCTACGTGTGGGACAGTGGAGACGGTTTGATGTAGAATGTGTAGTTAAAAATGATGTAGACGGTTTTGTTCTCTTTGATACCTTTGAACAAAGTGTTGTCGAAACCTCTGAAAGGAATTTTATAAGATACTGCACTCTGCTCCCTTGTTTTTAACTCATGGAACCTACTTTTTCACTTATTCTACTTTCTCCAACTACATTTTACTGGAATGTACACATTATACTAACTAATAGGAGCTAATGTACACATTATACTAACTAATAGGAGCTAATTGAGACACCTTAAGCTAGCCACATCAGATTTTTTATCTTCTTCCTCAAGATGCCACGTGGCATGGGCTCAATTAGAATGATCGTCGTTCCCTTTCTTTTATTATAATGTCATCAAGTGCCTCTTACTCTTCCTAGTGGTTTACGCTACAATCTTCTCCTTCATACGGAACGATCTACGTCTTCCTTCTCATTGATCATGAATTGATTTCTCTACAAGGATCGAATCGTCTCATCTTCCCCTTTCGCTCGCTCACTCAAATAATCACATTCATTCGAATCACTTCCACCCTAATAATCACCATAGATTACTTGAGTTAAGGTTTGATCAACCATATCTGTTTGAAGAGACCCGGTCCATCTTAAGTTGCTGTTGGAATTTCTCTATAAACTCAGATTTATGAGTTCATAGAGAAAATAAAACATTCCTCAAGTTTTGTGTTGTTTTGCAATCAGTTTAGATTTAGCTTAATGTCTTATCTTTGTTGACAACTGGATCTAATGACTGTAAATTAGTTTATGTGATGGATTGATCTCCGAATGTTGTTTCGTGAGATGTTTGAACTATATGTATATATCTCATTATACAGGTTTTGGATGGTTTAAGAAGAAAGGCTTCAAAGTATTATTTGGTGGATGCGGCTCAGCAAAGATACAATTTCGTTGTTTAATTTGCCTTTTGAAGAACATGCGATGGAAACATGCTGGTGAGACTCCTTAACATTTCTCCCTCAACTTTTGTTCTCAATCCTTGGGTATAATACTTATATATATGCGTAGTCTAAGTGAAGCCTTAGGGTATCTTAGCTTATTTTCAAATCATCATCTCCATTTTCCAGCCAATAATGTTGGAGTTGCTGCTGATGATCTTTGTCTTCCCACAAGACGGTTATTTATGTCGCGTTTATGAATGTGTTGTTAAAGATTCAACAAACTACTTTAATCACATAGATGGGAAAAAAGCGTAAGTAGTGGTGGATTTTTTTATCTGCTCTTTACTCGCCATATTTCTAACAAGCTAAACTAAAGAAATCAGATTCATTTTGAAGCCACTAAATTGTTGGAGGAAATATGCAGTTTGTTTTTAATTTCTAAACTAAACTTGACGGTTTTGTTTTTGTTTCCCACAGTTCAAAGGGCGTTGGGAATGTCTATGCGAGTGGAGTGATAATCTCTTGAACAAGTACAAGTTTCTCTCCAATGCATATATTATTGCTTTCATTGGTTTTGTATATGAATRAATATGAGACAGAAGTGTTTCAGGTTTGAATGCATTAGGTCCACGAGCGCTTAAAGGTTGTAAAGAAGCGGAGAACGCCAAGAGCTTTCACCGAACAAAATGTATACGACCCATCTCTTAGTTATGTAGACTGAAAAACAACATCGAGGTTATGATTTTTTTTCATTGCATAATAGATTTCGGATCCTTATATGGGAATAGATCTGGACGAACGCATCCGCAAACAGCAAGGAGGAGAGGAAGAACTAAAACGGCAGCGCAGGAGAAAAAGAAAGAGAAGAGGCAAAGTCCTCATATATAGTTGTCTTCTTGAGCTCTCTTTTTCGGTTCTTCTTTCGTCCACTATGATCCTGTATTTGCACGTGCACCACAAGCAATACTACAAAGTTGTCTCTCTTTTGGTGCCTTATCTTTCATCCTTGAAGGACTCAACAAAAGGCAAACCACTTTGGCTCATTTTGTCTCCTTGACACACCAAACCAGAAGTCTCCAAGATGATTTACCACTCTCTTTGGCTCTTCCAATCCCACATGAAATTAAAGGAGCTTTCTCTTCTTTCTTCAACTCCTTAACAAAACCCAAGAAGCTCACATTTCCCAGCCCCTCACATTGGATTTCTTCTTCGGCCTTTTGTAGATGGTTAGTTCATAGCTTATACGCCCCTACTTTTAACTCCTTTTAAGATGGAAGATAAACTTTTTACTCCAAGTTATATTCTCCATTTAATACTCTAATGATTCTAACTTTCCAATATCTTCTGTTTTTTTAGGTAGAGACGGATGGCCCCTCTTCCAAATGTTGTATTTTGTTAACAGAGTTGAAAAGTATGATGTATACTCACACTTGAAATTGTGATTTAGCATTAAAATCTAATTTATTTGTTTCAGTAAACTCTCAAGTAAGGCATGTTTTCATAATATCTTGGATTTTAGCTTTGAAATATCAAATGTTATTCCAACCTGAATTAAAGTGACGTATATGCAAATGGAAATACTATTTTGCTTAGTGTGGATTGGGTTTGTATGGTTTTCAAACACATTTCAAAAACATTGTCCGGAACAACAGTTTTTTTGGGATAAAGGTTACCAT